TGGCAGTGAACTTTCACACTTATATAATTTTTCTCGCTTAAATTTGTGTTGAGTGAAGATTTTCTTTGAATTCTTTGTTCCTTCAGTTATTAAACATAAAAAGCTAAAAATATTAACATCATTTGCATTTTTAGTTTGTTTTAATTCTTAAGACTTTATTTTGAATACTTTACTTATTTGTGTCTTATTTCTAGTTTATCTTTTTTTTTTTCGGAATTTTATCCATATTGTCTCATCTATATTCACTCTCATTACTCAACGTTGCCTTTAACCTTCACTTTGCATCCTGTCACGTCCTTCTTCAAAATCTCACGTTTCTCCTTTCTAAACCACTAATATGTTTTTGATTTCTAGAGCTTTCCCCGTACCTTAGCTCATCTATACATTTATCCATCAATCACGATACATTTTTAGGCTGGAAGGCCAAAACTCAAAATAATCATTAAACATAACCTTCGAGTTTCATGGTCAAATTTGATTTATTCAGTCGTTTTAACACACTAAATCTTTAAAGTTCCCATTATAATCATCTTAATTTAATAAATATTCACTAAATTTCCTATTTTCATCAAAATCATTAAAATGGCATTTTTGTTTTAAAAAATCTTCGCTCTTGCCCAACAACCACTTTCTGTAACTTTTTTCTCGTAACTAGTCTTTTGTTCTGCCCAGTGAAACATAGTTGTTCTTCTTAAGAGTCGAAATCTAGACTTTCTGCTTATTAAACTAATGTTCTAATCAATTAAGCTGTAACACAATTTGCTCATTTTATTAATTATTATAATTTTCTAGGTCTTAATTAATTTCTGAATTTATTAGATTTCATGTGTACGATAAGGAATTATTTGTAAAATCTTTTATAAACTCGTACATCACTTTTAACTATAACATCTCTTCTAAACTAAAATCAAAGAGTTTATCACCTATCATCCCATGAAACAATTTATTGGAAAGAAAAAACGAGCAAAAATATAAGATATGCCAAATCAAACTCATGCTCAAAAACGGAGAAGACAAACCCCTTAAGGAAAATTGTACCAAATGAAAACTTTATCAAAACACTTAGTCTAAATTTTATCAATCCCAAAATTTGCAAACCTATCCAGAACTCTTTTTTTTCATGGAAAAATGTAAGTTACTTTAAATTACATACCATTAAAATGACACTCATAAGCAATGTACTTAAAGTTTTTTTAGTAGTCAAAATGACACTCGTAATCAATGCATTTAAAGAATATTAGATTTCTAGATAAGAAGATAAACTTTGAATACCTAACGTTAACGTATATTTTCTTATACATTTTTTTCTTCTTTCTTTTAGTGTAAAAAAGGAATTATCTGATGCATTCTTTTTATTAAATATATGCTTCTAGAAAGTTAGTCATGCACGGAAAAAAATTAAATAATAATCCACAACTCGTTTGTGGTTATAATTCTGTTTCTTATCAAACCTTGTTTCTTTTATAGAAACATGACAAGAGGCTTTGAAGCTTTCCCTAACAAGTCAAAACAAAACACTCTAACTATGGTTTCCCGTTCAAATAATTACAGAAAACACTATAATTATTGCATTCTATTATCAAATAATGACTCAAAAAGGTCAACTTCCTATTTTAAAACTTTATTATTAAGTAGTTTTGTGTCCTTATCTAACTAGCTAATTATATATAACAAGAAAAAGACTCCAACAAGTGGGGTTTGTAAATAATGGGTTATTTAAAACCGAACAAATTCAAAAATGATAATCGATAATCAATCTAAAACGTTAAAAAAAAACTGGTTTAAATTGATTTCTTCTAGAGTTTTTTTGGATCTTTACTTTTCTTCATTAAATAGTTTGACTCTACTTTTAAATTACAAGTTGAGAACTAACTTGAAAGGAATTAAATTATTTATTAGTTGCTATAAGAATCATAAGCATGGGACTAAATTCCCCTAGTTGCTCTTCAATTGGTGTTGCAATTTTGCAAAGAGAAGCTACATTATGTTTAAATTGTTGATAGGTTATGACTTTTAGCTTCAGCCTTGTCTCTATGTATTATATACTGTACTGTCGGACCATTGTTGATGGCTTTATGCTTGATTTTAGTTTATATTTATTGTTTAAGAATTTAACCCTGTGTAGAGAGATTAAATCTTATGAAGGTTGGTATATTTTGTTTTCTTGTTTGGTACCTCAAGTAAGAGTTATATAATCAAGGATTTTTATAACTAATCAAGGATTTCGAAGAATAGTGTTTTTTTTAACAATTTCTATATAATAATAAGCATTTTTAACTATGAGAACCTGACTTAAGAGATTTTTTTAAAATAAACATCATAATATTTTATTAGGTTTAAACTAGAAACATATTTATAATAAGTGAAGTTCATTATATAAAATCACACTCTCTTAAAAACTTTCCTTTACTATCTTTCTTCTGACCCAATCTTAATCTATTTGAGGATTAAGAATCATATAATTATTCTTAGTGAGTTGTTCTATGCAACCATCATATCAAAATGTTGAATATAGTAAGTTTTCATTATGCTCTCTTTGAGGCATTTTACCTCTTTGGGTTGTATGTGAGTTTTAGGGAAACACATGTGATTTAAAGTTGGTCTTGATGGATCTATAGTATTTTGTGATCTTAATTTCATATCTCTAATTGGGGTCTTGATCGATTGTTTAGGTAATCTTATGTTGTATAAAGCTTTAGAGAGCATGAGTGTGAGAAAGAGGAGTTGTTTAAGGTGATGGAAGCTAATTAAAGCTATTAGATGTTGATTTCGTTTTTTATTTGGTTGTGCATTGAAGAGTGAATGATATGTTTCATTGGTATGTTACTTTGTTGTTGGTTCGTGGAATGAGAAAATGATTTAACAAAGGGCCTATTGATGTGTATCATTAAATTGTGTTTCTAGGATTTGAATTGTAAAATGTAAATGATGAATGTGTTATTTATGGCTTAAATTTGGAATTGTAACATGAAATTGGTGTGTTATTGATTAGTTTGAAGGATGAGATGAATTATTGATATTGTTGGCAATGTCAAATTGTAGCATTTTGGTGTTTGAGTTATGCAGACTCATGGACAAATGTCAAAAACGAATTTGGTAGAGTTAGAAGAAGTTTGCTTGCTAGGCGAGCTCACTCTTATTGAGCAAAAGCAAAACTCAAGTTCGGCAGAGATTCAAAGGAGTGGGAGTCATTGGGCAAGCTAGTTGATAAGTGTGAAAAATACTTATTATTCATACTTATTAATACTCTCAAATTTGTATTTATTCATGCGTTATGTGTTTTTCTCGTTGAAAGATGTAATAATTGTTAGGTAAGTTTGTGTTAGGTTATTGTACAGGAAAATGAAGCATCATTGAGAATCTGCCAAGATTTTCTTGCTAAGCCATATATAGTGGTTCGCTCAACGAGTAGAGTGGCTCGCTTAGCGAGTGGAATTAGTTAACAGTGAAGCAGTTGGGTTGTCGCCCAACAAATGCATACCTTCTCGATCAACGAATTGTGTAATTCTGGGAGTGGTTATTTAGTTGAGAAAGAAAGAAATAGAGGTAGTTTTGGTTGTGGTAAAACGAAGAAACTCAAGAAAATTGTCTGAGGCTACTTCAAAGCATAAAGACGTCGTTCTTCCATCAAATTTCATCAAACTTGTATGTGTTAGATGACTGGGAGTAACTAATTTCATTTTTCATTGGGATTGGATGTAGTGAACTCTAATGATGTAATTCTCCTGTGCAATACAATCTTTTTTCAATTTTTATGGAATGTCATATATTTAAATCTTTTCATTTTCATATATATGTAATAAAAATTTATCTATAATGTTCGTCGATATTTTGAAATATTTATTACCAACCGATTTGTCTATTTGTAAATTCGTCAATAAAAATAGCAATAAATTTCTCACACAAACCTCTATTGGGTTACATGAGAGGTCAAACCTTTTCATTTTCATCTCCTCACGCCCAAACCGACGAAGAAAGAAACTAAGGAGGCAAGCGTTAACCTGACAAGAAATATTCTTCCTCAGTGAAGAAAACACCCTTTTTCCTGCCCTTCATCTACAAAGTGCTCCTCCATTACATCATCGTCTCTAATGTCTCTGTCAAGCCCTTACCCTTCGTAGAGCTCGTCGTTATCTCCAAAGCTTTCATCCTCACATCGGGCCTCAACTTTTGGAGTCTTTGGTGTTCCTCGCAAGTCCCTCTTCTAGGCTGCACTCAACCACCAAGGGTGGATCGTCTTCCTTGACAAGAAGGAATGTGCCATCTCTAGGTTCGAGCAATCTTATTCTCGCATCGAAGCTGACAATGTCTAGTTCATCACCAAAGTCTCCAACTTCCCAAACTTCTCTTAGGCACATTCTTAGGCCTAGGTCAATTGTTATCTCATCTATAACCTTTTGTTCTCTGAATGCAAACTCACTATCAATGATCCCCAACCACATTTATCATCAACCCGGAGCATGAAGGCCGAAAAGATCCACGTCTTCGTCCATGATTTTGGAAGAGCTGGAGAGGATTGTTAGGACGAATTTCTCTACTGAGTTGTTGTCATTACTATGTTGATCGAATTTTAGAAGGTTGATCACAAATTCGAACTTTCCCTTTAAACTAAGGACCTAGAGTTGGTACAAGGCCTGAGAAAAAACAAAAACTTAAAGGCAAAGGTAGCCTACTAAATAAATGTCTAAATGTTATATAAATGATGAATGCGAAAGTTGGTGGAAGTAAAGGAAGGAAGAAAAAATAAATAAATTAAATCACAATATTTACTAACAATTTTTTTTCAATATTATCGACAAATATAAAATTTTTTCGGTAAATATTGTGGACTGCACCTTTATTAATGGATTTTAATTTGTAAAAAAATTATAAAAAAAAGTGACCAATGAATTTTGAGTGTTTTTGAGCGCCGATAATATTGAATTTCTTTTAGTGTTATTTCGTAATCACAAGTCGGGAAACAGTACGGACATTAAACAAATATTACAGAACGGGTTTTAGTGAATTTCATAGTGTGAATATGAAGGCAAACGAGATGAGCAATGATATTGGACTCAATGGTTGAAGGGGCTTTGAACTTGTTCACGAAGGTCGGTGAAGCTGTTTGGAGGTGTTCCATTTGTGTAGAACATGGCCGAAGACATCATAGAATACTATGTCAATTTCCGTTTGAGTGAGCTGAACAGACATGAATCCTTGACCATCGTAGTACAACTTCATTTCTTCTTCCTTCCACTTGTTCACAACTCCCCTCCACGCCTTAGACCCTCCACCGCTTGTAAAAAATTGTATTCCACTGAAATTCATCTATATATATTCAATATATGTACTTCAAATTATTAATCTTCAGTATGACCACAAATTAACCAACCTGTCAATACTGCTTATGTGTTGTAGGCAGTGATCGTGTCCATTTATGAACATATCAATGTTGTTCGCCTGAAAATTACTTATAATCACATATCTGTCGTCAATTATCGTAATCATTATATTTAAAATATAAAAATAGCAAATTACCTGGAGAATTGGGAGAAGCTGATTTACAAGTTCAGCTGTGTTACCGTGCTGCCCAGCACTTCTAATTGTATGGTGACCCACTACAATTTTCCACTTTGCATTTGATTCTCGCAAAGCCAAATCCACGTCCTATTCAAGTTCAGTACACTCTAATTAACCAATTAACATGGAAAATCTAATAGTTCAATTTATACATTTTATTTATATTTTTTTTCTTATCATTTAATTAATAATACAAAAAGATTTTTGGCTCTTTTCATTGAGAAATGATGAGAGGGTAAAACCTTGAGGAGGTTGGAAATATATTTTTTGCGAGGGTGTATTCCTCTCCAATCATAAACATGGTCCCCAGGTTCTGTGAAGTACTTGTCCACAAACGGAGTGGTATCCACGAAGAAAAACTCTGCAACTTCTGAAACAAAAAATGCATAAATTTAACCACGTACGTCAATATTTTAGGCAATTCTTATAAGTTAAAATGTTAATTTGAAAAAAAAAACTTACAATACAATTTTATGTATGAATGAATATAATGAATAAATAAATAATTAAACCCATTTGAAATTAAGTAAAATAAGTTTCATATCACCTGCATTGACAATAAAAGATCTCAAGCAAAGCCATCTCTTGTCATAATTTCTGAGGACAGGACTCAGCTGTGCCTCAACATCGCCTCTATAGTCATGGTTGCCCAAAACTACAAGAATCAAAACATTAAACAAAAAAACAAGACAGTATATATATTTAGTGTTAGGTTTTTTGAAAACAGACAATGAGAAAATTTAAATCAATAAAAGAATATTATTTTTAATCTAAAATCTTAATACAATAAATTTATTATTTTTATTTATATATTATGTATCTTTATTAGGTTTTTAACTCATTTTAAATTCTTAATAAGTAGCTTATTATCTCAATCATCTATCCTTATATGTCTTGATTGAAATTTAGGTGTAAGTAATTGAACTATTCTTACCACTGTACCATTGTTTGTGCAAGCTAGAAGAAGTGTAGATATTGGTGAATGAGTCGTCAAAGGCTGGATCGTCTATGCCTGTCAAGCCATTGTCATAAAAATTGTCTCCGGTGGAAATCACAAAATCGATGTTCAATTGCTTTCCAATAACCCCCATCTAGAAATAAATTTAAAAGAAACTAAAATTCAACTTGGTTTCTGGAGTAAATAATTGAACTGAGCAAGAACAAACATGAGAAAATCGCCATTATTTTTAAATTTTTATTCATAATAGTTTAACTTAATAAGAGTCATACATGACATAAAGAAATAAAATGTTCTCACAATGATTTTGTTTTCTTAAATATTTTGATATAAATTTTTAAAGCTTAAGCTAACAATTCATAAATTAATTTTTATAAATTAGAAAATAATTTTTTTCTTAAATATTTTGATCTGTTTTTTTCTAATTTTATATTATAGAATATTTTTTAATTATAAGGAATAACTATTATAAATATTTCTAACATTATTTATAGCGGAAAACAATAGTAAAAGGCCTTTTTCATGTTATGTTGGTATCTGTCTAAGCACGATCTACCTTTTTTATATTTCTTACTTCAAGCTTTCCTAGTTTTGTAGTCCTTGTTTATGATTTCGTGACTTCTGTGCTCTAGCCCATTTTTCTTGTTTGTGATTCATGTTTGTGGTTCTCGGTCATAGTTTTGTTAGTGGTTTTCGGCTTCTTGCTTTGCACTCCAACATTGTTACCCATTCTTTTAATGGTCACCATGACTACCCCAAAGAAAGACAATCCTTGTGTTCAATTCACTAGCAAGAATTATTTTGTTTTGGATTTTTAATTCAAGATGTATGTCAAATGGAAAGGATTATGGGTCACTTTGATAGAATAACATCGTCACCCAAGCAGAAAGCTACAATCACTACATGGAAGATAAAAGAAGCTCAAATTATTTATTGGATCATTAGCATTATTTGTCCCCAAATGATCAATCATTTGTGCTCTTTTAGATTTGCTCAACAAATGTGTGATTATTTTGAAGGGCATGTATAACAAAGACAATACGGCCAAGCATTTTTAGTTCAAACAAGAGATAACCAATTACACCCAAGGTAATTTTTCTATTCAAGAGTATTATTCTGGTTTTCTGAATTTATGGACAAAACACTTTGCCATTTTATATGTTGTTTTTCCCTAAACTTTACTCTAGATTGTTCAAGAAGTCTACAACACTTATAAGTGTGATCTGTTGCTCATTGTTTCGAGATTGAGGATGTCAAAAGTGCTTTACTGAATAGGAGTCTTGTTCCATCTTTGGATACATGTGTTGGTGAACTTCTCAAAGAAGAATAACATTTACTTACCCACAATAAAAGTAAAAATTGTGATATGCAACAAGTCCAATGTTTTTCTTGCAAACAATTTAGTCATATCACTCATAATTGTCATAAAAGTTTTGCAATTATTGTAAGCAACAAGGTCATGTCATTATTAATTGTCTTCCACGATAAATACAATGTCATGTACAAGTATTCATGCCACTACCAATGCACACAGTTGTCCTCCTACTTAATGTGCATATGATGGTGGTGCTTTCTAGCTTGGAATGATTCAACAAATCGTACTTTTTCGTTCTCTCAACCTTGAGTATTTAGGATAATTTATCTAGTGTGTGTCGTTGATGGTTTCTTGATTCTGGTTTATCTAATCACATGACGGGTTTCAATAAAATTTTACATAAACATTCTTATAATGGTACTAAAAAAATACAAATTGTTGATGTTAATACTCTTTTTATCACTAATATTGGTGTCCTAAACCAATATTAGTGAATAATACTATATTCAAGAGTATTATTCTGGTTTTCTTAATTTATGGACAGAACACTTTGTCATTTTATATGTTGTTTTTACCTAAACTTCACTCTAGATTGTTCAAGAAGTCTATAACAATGGTAAGTGCGATCTGTTTTTCATTGGTGTCTTAAACTCTTATTTTTGGAATGTGTTTGTCTCTCATAGACTTGTATCTAATTTATGGTCTATTGGTCAATTAATGGACAATAATTTTGATGTTAACTTTTCTTAGTCTAATTGTATTATGCAGGAGCAGGGATCAATAAAGTTGATCGTGAAGGAACTTAAATTGAGATGATTGTTTTCAATTCAATTTATTTCTAATCATTTGTATTTTGCTTGTAATAATTCTCTAAATCTATGTGAGGTTTGTCTTACTTATTTAAAAACTGGTTTGATAATCAATTTATGTTTCCTTATTTTTCTTTATACTTCAAATGATGTTGCTATTTTTTCCACTTTTTTCTACATAATTGATGAACCATTACTTTTTCCTATTTTTTTTATATTTCTATACCATCTTAATTGTTGACTCGTAGCTAATTGTCTTTTGTTAATACATTTTCATTAATTGAGTTTTATTGAGCATTTATTTTTATATTTTAGTTAATTTAAATTCATTTGATCTAATTTATGTTTATTAATTATTTTCATGTTACGAAGTAATTTTAGACTTAGGGCATTAATTCTTAGGCTGGAAAGAGGAGTGCCACATCAGCTTTTAGGATTAGTTTTTAGAGTTTCTTTATATTTGTTTTTGTGGGCCAGATTTGGCCCAACTTTTGGATGGCTAGGGTTTCAGGAGGGGTCTAACGTGATCACATAATATATTTACTAATGGTAAGTACTAAACATATATCTACCATGTAAACTCATACCATGTGTAGTACATCTATCTTGCTTAAAGTGCCTACTTATTGCTTTGACACTAAAATAAATACAATTTGTCTACGTATTTGTATTGATGGATAATTTGTTATAAATAATAGCATTTACCAACAGATTTATAACCATTGACCATGACATTAAGAAACATAGGGTGATGACTACCATTGATTCTAATAGTTTTGGTCATAAAATTTATTAATAATCATTTTATCATGGATTTTAGGTGTGGTCAATTTTTCGTTGATATAGTAAATTGCCAACGAAAATTTACCATTCTCAGTGATAACTTTTAGTAGCACTGTTTTTTCTTATAGTGTAATAGTAAATGTTTAGTAGCACTGTTAGCACAATTCACCATTCTCAGTAAATTGCCAACTCTGACATTATTTGAGTGATATCTTAATCATAAAAATGTTATAGTAACTCTTTTTGTAACTTCATATTTTATTATAATTTTTTTTTTACTTACAAAGTTTTTAGTGTTTCACAAATATTTTTTTTAGTAGAGCGAAGTTGACGTTGAAAATGGAAGAGATGTCATAATGCTATCCAAGTAATAATTAACTAACATCAAGGATTTCTACTAAATGTAAAGTTTAAATTTAAGAATCAGGATATATTCACTGTACGAATCATAACAATTTAGCCTATTATCATCTAATAATCAACCCCTTTAAACAGGCTAATAAAATAATACAAATGTAGATGCTTACGTTCAAATAAGAACTAAACTACTTGGAACTAATAAAATATTATTCATGAGATAATACACCCCTAGAAGATTCTGTCCAAATAACAACTAAACTAGGCGTGCATCAGGTTGAATATTGGCGCACGACTTTTCTATTTGGAATCTGTGGGCTAGATAGATAAGGAAGAAAAAACTATCATGAGGTTTAAAATTATGTATTCTCAATCTAAATTTTATATTATTTTTTAGGGTTAAATATGTTTTTAGTCCCTAAACTATTGACCGTTTCTGGTTTTCGTCCCTCTTCCAAACTAAGGTACAATTTGGTCCTCAATCTTTAAAAAACGTTCGTTTTAGTCGAAAAAACGAACGTTTTGAGGACTAAAACGAGGACTAAAAACAAAATTTTGAGGACTAAAACGAACGTTTTTCTAAAGAATGAGGACCAAATTGTACCTTACTTTGGAAGAGGGACGAAAACCAGAAACGGCCAATAGTTTAGGGACTAAAA